ATAAAAAGTACCAAGGGAAAATAGCTGGATGCAAGAATGTTATTATTGGGCCTTAGCTGGCAATGCATTCACCCATCTTCTAAATTTGTCCTGTAGAAAGCTGTGTTTTAAGAATGAAATGCTGCAAAATATGTTTTGTCTCTTTTTTTAATTGACAACTTTCCCCCTCAAATATTTCATCATCATGTACAGCAGATTTTGAAAGAGGGGCAGAAACACTCTATAGCCAAGATCCAGCTCTGCTTATATACAAGAGCTGATCCCACCCCTTCCAAAAGAAGAAACATATCCAGACATGTCAGTGGGACCTGGGTCAGCATCAAAATATAGAAGTGGACTAGCATCCAGACACACATTTACACTTCATTTGCTATGTACATGGAGCCCCAGTTCTACCCACATACTCTCTCTTGCTGGATTGAGAATCATGTGCTTATTTGGAATCTATCATTTGCTAAATTTCCCCACACATCTGTGAAGTATTCTCCCAGAATATACTAAAAATGAATATTTGGGACTCTTTCTTTGGATTATCCAGCCCACAGTGGTACTCTGTTTTCAAGAGCTGTCAAACCATGGTCACAAAGTGCAGATTATTTTGCAAAAGAAGTGGAGTGATGGCTCTGAGGCCTTTCTAATTAGATGTCTGGGACTAAATGAGGCGTAAGCATGTAAGAAGCTCATGGGCTACAACACCAACGTACGATGAAGCTGGCCGTGGCTACATTGGCTTGCGGGAAGCAAATTCCAGCACCATGTAATTATGGATGAGGAACAAAAATGGCATGTGGATTTCTAGAGAAAGCAAGATTGGGCATGGGAGGGGCATTAAGGTGGCTGGGGAAAAAAGTCTTCTCCATTCATTGTTCGTGTTCCATAGTGATTCTACCAAATTGTTTATTTTTCATTGGCTGTTTCTATTAAAAAGGAAAGGGATGGCCAACTAGCTCATCAGATCATATTTGAAACCAGCTGTTGTAAACCCACTGCATTTTTTTCTCAAAAGTGTAAATACAAATAATATCACCCACCTTTCAACATTTCTGTCCCTCAATATCTCAATTCATTCTACAAAGGAAAGATATCTGTAATTCCTCCTGAAAGACAGAAGGAAAGAGCACCATCACAGTTTATTTAGGAGGCTTTTCCATTTAGACCACTGGTTCCTAACCTTGGGTCCCCAGATGTTCTTGGACTAAAAATCCCAGAAGCCATCACCAGCAGCTGTGATGGCCAGGATTTCTGGGAGTTGTAATTCAAGGATATCAGGGGATCAAATGTTGGGAAGCACTGATCTAGATGGTATGGCTGCTGCTAATAAATTTGGTAGCCAGACTCACATGACAATGCTTCACAAGCATATAGTTTTCACTGGATAACCTGTAGGCCTTCAAATGTTGTGCATCTCCAGCTCCCATCAACCCCAGCCAACATGGCCAATGAGGCGATGGAAGCTAGAGACCAATAACATCTGGAATCTACATGTTGCCCACATCCAACCCACATCCATATTCCATTTAAGCAGAAAATGGACTCATATGCAAACAGACTTTCTTTGATGCATGAAGCTAACAGGCATTGAAAAGTTTCAAAATTTTAAAACAATACACTTTTATTTCAACTTTGTTCTGGGAGATAACTGGGAACTTGCCCATCTACCACGATATCGGTCAAATGTGCTTCTACCAAAGCTGAGCTCCAACTTTTTACTAAATGAAGTTGTCTTCAGGGCTAGCAGGACATAAAGAAAAATGAAGGAGTCAATTCTAAAGGTAAAAAAAAGCTATGGATGACATGGAAAAAAAACATCTATTTCAAAAGGGGCACTAGTTAACAAATTATATAGAGATGATAAAATGTGCTTCTGGCCCCCACTGAAGGACTCTTTACCTTTTTTAAAAAAATGCATTTCTCAAAACACACACACACACACACACACACACACACACACACAAAACTTTGGTTTAAAGCAAACATTCATGGTTGAAGCCCTGCCTCCTCTGGGTGCTGCTTCTCCCATTGAAGGGGGCGAGATGCCGAACCTCCAAACACCCATTGTGGTGGTAACGGAACCAGGATGAACCACCAAACCATTGGCTCATGCCCACCTCTAGAAACACATTCAGATGACTTCTCAGCCTCTACTTCTCCGTCAGAAGATGGGCATTCTTTCTGCACTTCAGCTTCTACTCTAGTAAACACTATAGCCATGCCACTAGCCACCCACTACCTATACAGTGCATCTGTACTGGTGTGGAATAGTTGAATTGGAATTCAGTTTTTGTTTGTGTCAGCATCTAGAAACAGCAGATTTGCAGTACAGTCCTAACCACGGGTACATAATCTTTACTAGTCGCATTCATCTGTCTCAGAGGGAAGGAAGTCTCTCTGGAATTTGTTAAAGAGTTGGCTCCTCAAATCCCCACTGATTCATTGAACCTACTTTGTGGCTTACTACGCTACACAATAGGGTTTCAGCCTGTATGATGCACCTTCTTAGGTAAATATTGTTTTTTTCCCCTGAGAAATGAAAAAGTGGGATTTACTTATATTTACTTGGGATGGAATTTAAGAAAACAAGAAGGATTCAGCAATGTGCTTATGTTTGTGGGAAGGGGTGTCTGCCTCTCCTTGCTGGCTTTAACAAAACTTGCTGCTCTAAAGCGAAGTTCCCTCATCGCTATTTCAGGAATCCTCCTTTTTTAAATGTAGGAACACCAAGATATCACTGTTGGGAAAAGAAAATCTGTCTTTATTACAATTTGAGGTAAAAGGCATACTGCATATAAAACATACCGATTTCTCCAACTCATTTCTAGTTGGATCTTTAAGGGACTCACACCCGCTTATAAAGGAGAAGTGATTGCTCTTTAGGCCTGCCTCTTAAAGAGGCAGATCAGGTGTTAGTCATAAATCTGCCCCCTATAGGGTGTTGGTCAAAGATTGCTGGTCAAAGGTTGCTATTCAAAGGTTACCTTCAGAAAACATGTTCCAGGATCAGATGTATTACAGCAGAAGCCAGTGTGAAATAGACAGGGAAGGATTGGGAAATGAAGGTGCCAAGACTGAGAGGCAAATTTGTACTACTAGTGGATAATAGCTATAGGGTTGCCAGAAACAGAAAAAGCACAACAGTGTTCCTTTCTATGGGAGAGACACCTATCACGAGCACCCTACCATTATGATACAGTGCTAGAGCCACTATATAATATAAATGATGGTTTCCAGTGGTTTCCAGAGGCGAAATGGTTTGCGAGTGGGAAAGCCACCATACTGTACTTGATCTTCTTTCTGACTTTTCTCTTCCCATCTGTATATGGTCCTGCTAATCTAAAAGCACGTTTTGTTTATTGCCTCTCAAACTAAGGAATAGATTAAGCTGTTTTAGTGTAAGTTAAAGTCTGACCTGCAGTGACACACCAGTGTTCTTAATCTTTATTAATGGCTTTTTCACTATGCACTGTGAAGAAGAAGAAACACTTTCATCTTCCTGATCAATGCAAAGTGTGTTTGAAAAGAGCATTTTCTTCATCCTTAAAAGGCAACGTGAGCAATCAATGGCTTTTCTGAAATGGGTGCTGCTGATCAAGCACAGGCAACTCCCGTGCAAGGTACTAAATTGATCTCAGTTCAGAATAGGAAATAACCTTGTCGTTGTCATGTCTTATGTAATACTATTACAAATGAATCATGACAGATTGGCTTGAGCACAATGTACCCAGAAAATATATTCTATAGTCTGGATTGGATGACTCCCACTGTTGTCAATGAGTCTAGCAAAACAATATCTGTGTAGTAATTTGAAAGATTGTCTGGACAACAAGAACCACTTCTTATTTGTGTCTTAGATTTCACTAGGTTAAGCACACTGCACATTCCTTTGAAAATTACTCTTACTTATGAGTTGGATCAGTGTCGCTTTGAAGGTCTTGCTTTAAAACCTTACAGACATAGGCTTTTTTGTGTTCCATCACTGAAGAAAGGTCTGATGCAATGATTTTTTAAAAAAAAAAACTTTCCAGATTAGGAGTAGAGTTACAGCTGTCTTACACTGACTGAACTCCACAAGCTGAGAAATTGAAAGCTAGAGGTGATGCATTAACAGGTATGTCCCATGATCAAGAATAATGTTGTGCAGTATCACCATCTGGGCTTGCGTACATCTTATTCTTCATGCACTTCCATTTTGACTCGATCTTTCAGGCTCAAATCCAGATAGGGAGAATTGAATGTCTGGACTGGGAAAGATGCCCCAAATTCTTCTGGTCCGACATTGACATCTAAAGCATTTAATCCTCACCCTATTGCTGGAGGAATTGTCCCATAATTTGACCTATTTCTGTTTGCTCCTTTCATTAACACCCAGCAGGATGGCTTAACAAATTGGAGAATCTTCTTCCTATTGTCTTCACTAGGCTTGTTTTTGGCGTTTTGGACTCGAAATCCCAGAATTCCCCATTCTCAAAGTGCCACCCACCAGGCCTGAACCTAAATCATGCTCCCAACAAGCACGGGGGCAACATCCTTTTCTAACAGGCACTGAGGCTGGAGCTTAGCCTGTCCTAAGCTATGAAACCTTCCAACCTGGCCTTTCTCCAAATGGGCACAATTGGGACTACCAGGAGGAATTCTCAGAACTGAGAATTTCAGAATCTGGATTCAAAACAAAACAAAGCAAACACCTCTGAATGGTACTTCCCTACTCTTCACCATGCCTACAAGGGTTCAACAGAAATGTTTTTAAATATCAGTAAAACAACGATGAATGATATGACCATTCAAGCTTTTTATTACACAGATTAGGAAGTGCAACATTCCACTGCAACTACCACTTTGAGATTTCCACTACCTGGCATGCTCTAAAATGTTTGCAATTGGTTGAGAACCTGAGGCTCTTGGTGCAGATAAAAGAGGTTGGGTAATATGACATTGCACTTGAGAAGAAAAGATACACAGAAGGAGTAAGTACACTGTCCCAGCATGTCACATATTTCTTTCAGGTTGCATCTGCCCAACACCAGGAAAGAACCAGGTCCCATGGACTAAATTGAAAAATTAAGTTACATCTCCATGAGTCCCTTTTAGATGGAAAGTCAGGCTGGCCTACAAATGCACTAAAAATAAAGTAAGTAATTCAGGCTTAACCTATTCATGCTCAAAATTAGTTTGCCTCTCACACACTATCAAGATGCACCGTTTCTTGATGTCTGTTAAGATCTATGAAGTGTATTTTCAAATCTTAGCAGTTTTCATTACTGCCAATAGTATCAATTGCTTTTGTGCTGGAAGCACAATTCCAGGCATTATACACTTAGACTGAAACCCTCTTTGCCTTGTCTGTACGTATAACTGTCTGACTGGATGAGAACAAGGAACTTAATGAATAATCTTTCTGTCTCTATTTAATAGCTGGCAGATGGTTTAGGTAATCTCAGCACAAGTCAGCTTGCCCTCCTGGTGAATAATGTGGGCACCAGCCTGGAAGAAAATGTATCAGGGAGAAATATAGAGATGGGCACGAACTGCCAATTCAGCGATTTGTGCTGGTTCATTTATTGGCCAAACAGGTGTTTGGTACTTTGCAGCTCCTCCTTCTCCAGCAGGTGCCCACTTTCAAGGTAAGTGAGAGATTTAACAAATGGTTTTACCGATCTTGAACCCCTAGTGAGTTTCCATGGCTCAAACCCAGGCCTCCCAAGTCCTAGTCCATGGCTTTATCTTCTTCACAATACGGAGTATCCTGGTATTTGTAACCAATAAAAAAACTCAAGTCCTCAGAGGAGTTTTAGAACACACACCTCTGCCTTTTCATGTCTCTCTCTGGAGAGATGGCTGTTGACCTGAAGAAGAGGGAAATGGGGAGAAATGACTAAGCTCCAAAGGAGCTGCAAGGGTCCAGAAGATTGGTAGTGTCTGTTAATTAAATTCTGCCTTCCAAAAAATTACCAGTCTCCTAATGCCTTGCAGATCCCATGGGTTTAGCCACTCCCCTCTATTTCCCTCTTCTTCAGGCTAATGGCTGCCACCCCAAAGAGAAAGTAGCAGAGGCACAGATGCGTCTTCTGAAACACCTCAGATAAATTGGATTTTTGGCCACAGCTACCAGAACTCTGCCTGGAGGAATTCCTGGCACATTCTGGGAGCTGTAGTGAAAGAAAATCCAAAATTTTTTGCTGAATGCTACAATCCAGAAAAGTCATTCCCCAAAGGCCTTCCCATGTATTCCTATCACCACAGTGTTCTGCAAACTTTATGGTACATCTGCTGGAGAAATTGTTAATGAAAGAAAATTAAGTGTTTGCAATTCTCCATCATTGCCATAACAATGAAAGCAGCTCACAATGATAGTGCTGTGCAGGGGTCTGGCATCAGTGTTCAGTAACAGGCCTTGAAGACCTGGGAAAAATAGCACAGAGAGGCTGAATAAATGCAGGGAGTTCAGCCAAAAAGATGCACAACAGTTGAAAGAGATAGTGTAAAGTTGGCCTGGCATTGGGATTCAGAGAAAGAAATATCTAATGGCAGGAGTTTTGATCTCAGTTTTCCCCCTTGCTCTGAGCATTGTCCATGCTCTTCTGGGTACTTGGCAGAGCCAGCGTCAAGGAGTTAACACAGTTTGGGTGTTAATTATGGATCACAGCGGGCAACAGAACGTGGAGGAAGTTCAAAGAGAATATTAGATCACCGCCCCTCAATTCAAACAGATGTGCAGCTCTGAGGTGCAAGGAGGAGGGTGGAACTGCGTGAGCAAATCTCTCAAGCTTCCTGAGCAACTAGAAACAAACTCAGATCCCTGCAGGCAGCTGCAGGATCAGTGCGGCTGAAAATAGCCTCTGCCCTTTCTGTAATTTGCCAGTGTTTTTCCTTTCACTTCGAGACTGTTGTTCTTATGCATTATGCTCATGAGAGCCAGTAACACAGGGTGAGTGGAGATGTCTGGGGTTTCACCTTCGGTGTGAGCTCGCCTGCAAATGTAAACCTGTTGAAAATGGTGTTAAATCTGATTTGTGTTTAAAAATTGGCAAGGGCTTTCTCATGCTGGTGCTCAATGAGTTTCCTTAACCTTCCTTAACCACTATAATAGAAAGAAAATACATGTAACGGATCCCTTAATTCAGCTCTTTTTGTTCACAGATGGCTGAGACTGCTAACTGATTCTTCTCCCAGATCCATATCTTCTGCTAGGTTAGAGGATATAATAAAAAGTAAATGCCCACCAGCAATACATGGCTTATTGTTGCCTCATCAGAGAACTTGCTGCCCACCGCCTCTACCAGTGTATTCTCCTGGAGGCTTCTGCTATTAAATTAAAACTCATTTTTATTAATGAACCGGTTTCACATTCACATGTGCTGACAGGTACAGATGTGTGAACCCTGTTCCTGTACTTCTGTATGTATGTATCTCGACATGTTGAGCTCAGGGATGTGGGTCAGAAACAATTTTATAGGGGCAGGGTTATCACTGTGGGTCTGCTTTAAGTACAGAATGGAAAATCTGTCCATTGTCCTTAGGTTCTCTAAGAGACATGATGTGCAGTTACTGCAAGTGAGGACAAAGGAAAAGAAACCTGATCTAGCCCACTTGCTCTCTGGTGTCTTCATGACATATTGTTATAGCAATGTGAGTTTCTGATGGCTGCCAGTGTAACTGGACTCAATGAATAATGATCAGATAGGATTCAATGTCCAAAGTTTTCAGGGAAACTTTGAGAAGACTCATAATGCAAGACAGATCCTTCAAGCATCTGAAATGGTCAAGATTCATTACACCGTGGTTCTACTTACTGTATGTATGTATCCTGAATCATTGGTTGCCCGTCCTGCTCACCAAAGCAGAATCTGAAATGGTCAAGATTCATTACACCGTTGTTCTATCCTGAATCATTGGTTGCCTGTCCTGCTCACCAAAGCAGCTGAAATGTGGGTGGTCTCTTTAACATCTAGAAAATGAAGATCTTGCCTGTTTCATGCCATTGCCATGAGTCATGTATATGTAACTTGTAAATAAGGCTTGCTCTGCTCTTACAAGGCTGCAACACAATAATGCCCTTCAGTGGCCACCGAAGGAGACACTAGTGCATGATTTATTTGACAAAGGCCAACTTTGACTATTTTATGGGATGAGATGCTTGTGATACAGATGCCAAGAGAGATGTATGTCACATGGATAGTATTGTAGGTAGCTACCAAACACCATGATCACACTTTGGTACAAGGAAAAGAAAGATCAGCCTAAGCTACCACCAGTTAAAGATGCTGTTGAGCTCAAAGTTTTATATCCTACTCATCAGGAAGGATCAGTAGCAAGCACATAATAGGCATTGTTAGTCCTGAATATGCTTCTGGCTACTTAAAGATGCTGTTGAGCTCAAAGTTTTATGTCCTACTCATCAGGAAGGATCAGTAGCAAACAGCTGAAACACATAATAGGCACTGTTAGTCCTGAATATGCTTCTGGCTGGAAGAAGGAAGATGATGTTTTATCTGTGATCTGGACAAGGTTACCTCCCATGTCCACTAGCTCCCATAACTTGTAGTCTGTGTATGCAAAATGAAACTCACAACACCTTGATGCCACTGATTCAAAGACTATTTGGAGGTATTGTTGCCTGTGGTTGAGATCCCGTCATTTGCTTCAGAGCTGTAACAGTTTCCACTAAAAGTAATTTAACCAAGGCCATCTAAGAAGAGAGAAGGAACCTTGGAAATTAACTTCAACATAATTGTTTGTTTGGTTTTTGAAACACCTACACTTTACCATATGTACAGCTGCTCTGCTATGTGTACTTAGATTTAACGTGCCAGTGCTGTTAAATGGCTCATTTTCTAAAGCACTTTCTGGATGATAGCTGCCCCACTATTAGTTATAATTATTATTTGAATGAGAAGGAATTATAAAATCGAGTGCTGTTCCACATATTTCTTGATTAGTAAGATTTCAAAAACTGCAACATCATCCAAAGGTGGACATAATATTTTTAAACAGAAATCTACAGGTGAATGCAGAAAAGACAGAAGTTTCAGAAGTCCTTGAACCCTCTTATGGTAGAAAGGCATTATATGAATACATTTAATTTGTTACTGTAGAATGTTTAAAATGTAAAAAGTGTACAGGACTATCCTTAGTTCAATGCAGCAGTAGTGTACTGGCAAATCCAGAAGGTTTTCCCCCATGAAACGTACACCACACTCCTTACAAGAATTCACTTTCACAGACACACCTCCTTGTAAGATTTAAAATAGTTTAAGATTATAGGATAAAAATGATTTTTCAGTTTCTTACTTTATTCAGAGGTCTGCAGAGTGAGGATAAGGGTAGGGTTTTTGTGGGTTTTTTGGTTTGTTTTTTTAAAGAAATTCATGGAATTCTCTGGCCATACTATTTTCAGTTTCTTACTTTATTCAGAGGTCTGTGGAGTGAGGATAAGGGCAGGGTTTTTTTGTTTGTTTGTTTTTTGAAATTCATGGAATTCTCTGGCCATACTAGCTGGAGTAACTTTGGAGCTTAGTCTTAAAGGAAGTAACTTTTCCCACCTCAGCAGCTGATAATCCTCAAAACTTGCCAGGAAGCAGTAGATTGCTATAGGAAAAGTTTTTAAAATAACTTGAAGAATTCTAAGTTGAAAGGTACTTAATTTTCTAGTTTGTAATCTCTCCTCTCAAAAGGCACCCACCTCTTACATAGCCTTCAAATCTTTCTCAAAAGTGGGAGGGGGGAGTATTATTGTCCCCTTATTGCAACCAAGCTACATTTTTGTTTTGATAACAAAAGTAACCTGCTTTAAAACATGACATCTACAAGGCTCTGGGTATTTTAGACAAAAATGTGCATTTTTTGTTCAAGCAAACAAAAGGAAAGGAGAAAAATAACATTTGTTTAAGGTATATCTCTGCATGGTTGATCACTTGGAGGAAAAATACACATTAAAGCCTTCTAACTGTTGTGGCATTAACTTTTGGAGATTAGAACTTCTTAAACAGCTGTGTTAAACAGTGTCTAGTGTAATGCAATGTTTAGCCTTAATCACTAACCTCAAATGCTAAAAAGGCAGAGACTGACCCATTGATTATGCTTCTGTTACATGTAATAATAATAAAAATGCATACCTTTTGTCATTCACATTAAGGGACCACAGAGTGTGTCACACCCCTTTCTTAAACGTGTAGAGGCCTTTATGGGTGGAAATGCAAATCTCATGAAAATACTTGCCAGTGTAGACAATGAAGTCCTCACTAAACAGACTTGGGTCACCATTCTGATTACCACTCAAGACTCCCACAGTACCAGCCCACTTGGTTACATCAAAATGGGGTGTGACAATGTTGCAAGATACCAAATGGTTTGCATCAGAGTTGAGATAGCTAAAATCAATTCGTTTTCTGGTGTGGTGACCAAATGACCTAAAGCTAATTGTGCAGAAATTTGCATCTTTTTTCAATGGCATTCATGTCTTTTTGTCAAACATCAGGGGGGTTGTTTATTTTGGA